TGTGTCTTATCGGATAACCATGGAGTAAAGTTAGAATTTAACAACAATACTACTCCCAGAAAGCCTACAAACTCTTGGAAATTTAACAGTCAACTACTGAACCACCCCTGGGTCAAGGAAGAAATAAAGAAAGAAATTGAAAGTCTTCCTTGAATTCAACAAAAATGAAGGCACAACAAATACAACCTGTGGGACACCAGGAAAACAGTCCTAAGAGGAAAGTTCATAGCACTAAGTGGAGAAAGCTCACATTAGTGACTTAACAGCACACCTGAAAGCTCTAGGAAAAAAAGAAGCAGGCTCACCCAAGAGGACCAGAAATAATCAAATTGAGGGCTAAAATCAACAAATAGAAACACAGAAAACAATCCAAAGAATCAATGAAACAAAGAGCTGTGTCTTTGAGAAAATCAACAAGATTGACAAACTCTTATACAAGCTAACCAAAAGGCTGAGAGAGAACATCCAAATTAACAAAATTAGAAATGAAAAGGGGGATATAACAACAGACACTGAGGAAATTCAGAGAATCATTAGATCTTACAACAAAACCCTGTACTCTGCAAAATTGGAAAATGTAAAAGAAACGGACAATTTTTTAGATAAATACCACATACCAAAATTAAATTAAGACCAAGTGAGCAATTTAAATAGACCTATAAGCCACGGGGAAATAGAAGCTGTCATCAAAAACCTCCCAACCAAAAGAAGCCCAGGGCCGGATAGGTTTAGTGCAGAATTCTACCATAACTTCCAAGAAGAGCTAATGCCAATACTTCTTAATATGTTTCACATAATAGAAAAAAAAGGGTCTTTTTATGAGACTATAGTTACCCTGATACCAAAACTGCACAAAGACCCAACCAAGAAAGAGAATTACAGATCAATCTCATTCTCATGGATGCAAAAATTCTCAATAAAATACTGGCAAACTGAATCCAAAAACACATCAAAAAAATTATCCATCATGATCAAGTAAGCTTGATCCCAGAGACGCAGGGCTGGTTCAACATATGCAAATCTATCAATGTAATCCATCATATAAATAAACTGAAAGAAAAAACCATATGATTATTTCATTAGAAGCTGAAAAAGCATTTGACAAAATTCAACACCCCTTCATGATAAAGATATAGTAGAGATTAGGGATACCAGGATTATATCTAAATATAATAAAATCGATATACAACAAGCCAACAGCTAGCATCAGATTAAATGGAAAGAAACTCAAAGCCATTCCACTAAAATCAGGAACAAGATAAGGCTATCCACTCTGTCCATATCTCTTCAACATAGTTCTTGAAGTTCTAGCAATAGTTGGTCGACAAACATAAGGAGATCAAGGAGATTCAAATTGGAAAAGAAGAAGTCAAAGTTTTGTTATTTGCAGATGATATGATAATGTACATAACTGACCCCAAAAACTCTACCAGAGAACTCCCACAGCTGATAAATACCTTCAGTGATGTGTCAGGATACAAGATCAACTAAAAAAATCAGTAGCCCTCCTATACACAAAGGATAAAGAAGCTGAGAGGGAAATCAGAGAAACATCACCTTTCACAATAGTCACAAAAAAATAAAGTATCTTGGGGTAACACTAACCAAAGAAGTGAAAGACCTATTTGACAAGAACTATTTGACAAGTCTTTGAAGAAAGGAATTGAAGAAGATGCCAAAATGGAAAGATCTCCCATGCTCTTAGATAGGAGTCCTACCAAAGGCAATCTATAGATTCAATGCAATCTCCATCAAAATCCCAACACAATTCTTCACCTACCTTGAGAGAACAATAATCAACTTCATATGGAAAAACAAAAAACCTAGGATAGCCAAAACAATCCTATACAATAAAGGAACTTCCGGAGGCATTACCATCCCTGACATCAAGCTCTATTACAGAGCTACAGTAATGAAAACAGCTTGGTATTGGCATAGAAACAGAGATGTTGACCAATGGAATCGAATTGAAGACCCAGATATTAACCCACAAACCTATGAACACCTGATTTTTGACAAAGAAGCTAAAACTATACATCTTCAACAAATGGTGCTGGCATAACTGGATGTCAACCTGTAGAAGAATGAAAATAGATCCAAATCTATCACCATGCACAAAACTTAAGTCCAAATGAATCAAAGACCTCAATATAAATCTGACCACACTGAACCTGATAGAGGAGAAAGTGGGAAGTAGCCTTCAATGCATGGGTACAGGAGACCACTTCCTACGTATAATCCCAGTAGCACAGACATTAAGGACAACATTAAATAAATGGGATCTCCTGAAACTGAGAAGCTTCTGTAAAGCAAAGGACAGAGTCATTAAGACAAAAAGGCTCCCTACTGAATGGGAGATCTTCACCAATCCCACATCAGACAAAGGTCTGATCTCCAAAATATATAAAGAACTCAAGAAATTAGACATTAAAATTCTAAATAACTTAATTAAAAAATGGTGTACTGGACTAAACAGAGAATTCTCGACAGAAGAATTTCAAATGGTCCAAAGATACTTAAGGACATGTTCAATTTCCTTAGCTATCAGGGAAATGCAAATCACAACTCTGAGATACCATCTTATACCTGTCAGAATGGCTAAAATCAAAAACACTAATGATAGCTTATGCTGGAGAAGATGTGAAGTAAGGGGTACATTCATCCATTGCTGGTAGGAATGCAAACTTGTGCAACCACTTTGGAAATCAGTGTGGCAGTTTCTTAGAAAATTGGGAATCAACCTACCTCAGGATCTAGCAATACCACTCTTGGGAATATACCCAAAAGATGCTCAATCATACTACAAAAACATTTGTTCAACTATGTTCATAGCAGCATTATTTGTAATAGCCAGAACCTGGAAACAACCTAGATGCCCCTCAACTGAAGAATGGATAAAGAAAGTGTGGCACATGCACACATTAGAGTACTACACCGTGGTAAAAAAGACAATGACATCTTGAATTTTGCATGCAAATGGATAGAATTAGAAAACACTATCCTGAGTGAGATAACCCAGACCCAAAAATATGAATACGGGATGTACTCACTCATTAGTGGATACTAACCATAAACAAAGAATATTGAGCCTATAGTTCACGATCCTAGAAAAGTTAAGTAATAAGGTAAACCCAAAGAAAAACATATATAGATTCACCTGGAAATTGGAAGCAGACAAGATCGCCTGACAAAATTTGGGAGCATGGGGGTGGGGGTAGAAGGAAGGGGAGAAGAAGAGGGTTAGGGAGAACTTGAGGGAGTAGGATAGTTGAGAAAGAGGAAGGACAGTTATGAGAGCAAAGGAAGAGATATCCTGATTGAGGAAACCATTTTGGGGTTAGCAAGAAACCTGGCTCTAGAAAAATTCCCAGGAATCCACAAGGATAACCCTAGCTAAAACCCTAAGCAATAGAGGAGAGAGTACCTGAACTGGCCTTGCCCTGTTGTCAGACTGATGTTTATCTTAAATCTCACCAAAGAACCTTCGCCTAACAACAGATGGAAACAGAGGCAGAGACCCCCATCAGAGCACTGGACTGAGCTTCCAAGGTCCAATTGAAGAGTGGAAGGAGGGAGAGTATGAGCAAGTAGGTCAGGACCATGAGGGGTTCACCCACTGAGACAATTTGACTGAGCTAATGGGAGCTCACCAACTCCAACTCGACTGGGAGTGAACGAGCATGGGATCAAACTAGTTCCTCTGAATGTGGTTGACAGCTGGGGCAGACTGAGGGGCCAGTGACAGTGGCACTGGGATTTGTCTCTATTACATGTACTGTTTTGGGGTATCCTATTATCTTTGTATGTATACCTTGCTCAACCTAGATGTAGTAGGGAGGGCCTTGGACGTTCCACAGGGTGGGTTGCCTTGTCCTCTCTTATGATTGGAAGGGGTTGGGGGTGAGGGTGAGTGGAGAGAGTGGGAAGGGAGTGGGAGGAGGGGAGGAAGTGGGAATTTGGATTGGTATTTTTTTAAGTAATAAAATAAAATAATAAGAAAGAGAAAAGTTTCATCATACGGCTTTGGGAGACACCGGCCTTCAACCCCCCATCGTGGAGTTAAGTTTCATCCATCATATGGCTTTGGGGGACATCAGCCTTCAGTCCCCCATCGTGGAATCCTTGCACGTGGAAAGTCACTCTCACCTGGTGCTTATTTATTCCACCATCTTCCTACATTAGCCTGGACATGTGGGTATTTTATATTTTGAATATAAAGTCTACTATCATTATTGCTAGGTCGTTCCAGCGTGGGTCACCATTTCTTCCACACACTTTTGCGTGTGGAATTTCTGCAGGTTTTCCATTTTCTTTGCTTACCCGCGCATCCCTTCAGCAAATGCCAGTTGCCATGGTCATGAATTCCCCCACTTCCTTTCTCACCCCAAAGGGATCGATCCCTTCTGACTTCCCTTCTGGTAACCCTTCCTCAGCACTCCTTTAGTTCCTAATAGCGCCCCTCACCTTCTCTAGGGGACCATCCTTACAGCCTGCCATTGGAATCTGGTGACCCACAAATCTTCCAGGATAAAAACTCATTGTTGCCTGGGAGTGAGGCCCCTGACTTATCTTGGGTGAGCATACCCAGGACTCTGGACACGCCTCTAGGGGACTTTGACCTTTCTCTGGGAAAAAGAGGAAGGGGACTCTTACTTCACATAGTTATTTAAATTTTTTTGTAGTGATAATGACAGTACAAAATAAATGTGATTGGTAGATGGTGTAGAGGGACGGAGAAGGGGATATAATGAGCAAAAGGTAGGCAAGGAGTGGGGGCAGGGCTGAGGCATGAGGGCTAGAGGTGGACCCTGTAGCTGGGGTTCCCCAGTCCTAGCCTGGCTGCTGTTCTTCTCATGGGCCCCCAGGGCCCGCCTACCCAGGCCAACCACTTCCCCCATCAAAGCCCTGGTCCTTCCTTGGGTCTTTACAGCTCACAGATTCTGAGAAGCGTGGAAAGCCTCCCTTCTCCTCTGCTCCTTCTCTGGCAGAATCAGTGGGGCATGGCTTGGAGGGGCTCACAACTGCTATTGGCCCCTGTGCTGCTGCTGCACCTGGCCTCAGGTGAGATGGTTCAGGGCTCAAGGGGTTGGGGAGTGGGTCTAGAGGACAAGGGTCAGGCAGGAATCCGGCTGACCCTGTGACTGGGCATGACTTCAGAGCCACGTTCTGAGTTAGTGAGAGAAGTCACCCCATCTCAGCTCTCCTAGCCCTGTAAGCAAAGTATCCAGCTGGGGCTCTGACCTGACTGTTTGTTGTCCAGGTGTCTGGGGTTCGACAGTTGTTTCTGAGGAACTTCACAAAACGGTAGGACAGAACCTATATGTGAAGTGCCAGTACAAGCCTGAGGCGGGGCCTTACGTGCCGAAATCGTGGTGTCGTCAGACATCTTCAGATAGATGTAAGAGAGTGGTCACAACCTCCCAGCCTAGGAGGGCCGAAACAGAATCACAGCATGCAATCTGGGACTATCCTGAAGATGGCCACTTCATCATCACCATCACTCGGCTCACGGAGAAGAACTCGGCAATCTACTGGTGCGGACTATTTAATGTTTCCCACAATAAAATCAGAGTTCTCCGAAACATCAGCCTGGTGGTGTCTCCAGGTGAGGGTGAGATCCTTCTCCTAGGGACCAAGTGAAAACCTGTATCACTTCTCCCTTGTTTCTGTCAGCTCCAACCCTGCCACCTGCTCTGACTGAGGGGCACGGGATGCCCTGGCCCCTCGGACAGCTTCCCGGCTCTGGTACTGAGAAGGGATGTCTGCGTTTCATAGAACAGGGACCTGCAGTCTCTCCTGACTCTTTTTTATTTTAGCCTGACATGATGCAACTTTAATCCCAACATCTGAGAGGCAGAGGAAGGTGAGTCTCTGTGAGTTAAAGGCCAGCCCGGCTACAGAGTGAGTTCCCGGCCAACCAGAGACCCTGTCTCAAAAAAAAAAAGTTGGAATGTTTTTATTTTAAATTATATGCACTTGCTGGGCGGTGGTGGCGCACGCCTTTAATCCCAGCACTCGGGAGGCAGAGGCAGGCAGATCTCTGTGAGTTCGAGGCCAGCCTGGTCTAGAAGAGCTAGTTCCAGGACAGGAACCAAAAAGCTACGGAGAAACCCTGTCTCAAAAATAAAAAATAATATTAATAAATAAAAATTATATGCACTCACGGGCACAAGCCACATTTGTGCCAGTGCCCATGAGACCAGAGTGTAGGATGGCCTTGAGGCTAGACTCATGAGTGAAGTGAACACCCAGTGTGGGTACTGGGAACCAAACTCAGGTCTCTGCAGGAACAATCTGTGTTGTCAATGGCTAAGCCGTCTCTCCAGCCCTTGATTCTCTTTCTCACACAGGCAACCCATGCAGACCCTAAGGTGCAGATCACTGCTGGCTTAGGTGACCCCCAAGGACCTGCTCTGAGCTCCCCTATATCCTGTCACTCTTTGGGGTCGGACTGGATTCACCCTTCAGGACCCCACACAGTCATCTCTTTTTCTTTTACAGCGGTGCCCACTCTTCCTCCACGGACCAGTGCTGGGCTCCAAACAAGGATAGGTAGGTTTATGAGGAGGAAAGACAGATGGCCAGGAACACAGGGAGACTGAGACTCAGTGGGGCCTTCCCCTTGGGTGGATCCCCTAGAGACTGGCAATGAGGAAGCTCCATTCAGGGCTTTGAATACAGAGAGATGAAGTGTGCTGCCTGGTCCAGCGCCGCCCACTTCCCACTGGGAGGCCAGATTTGATGTATGCATAAAGATCCCAGGTCTAATCTGAGCGGGTTTAAAAACCAAACCAAGCCATAACATACAACATCACTAAACTACTAGGGGAATATGAATGAAAACCGCAGTGAGATCATCTCCCTCTAGTAAGATTACTCTTCCCCAAAACACAAGAGGTAACAGGCACAGGGAAGGCGTGGAGAAAGGGAACCCTGTGGTTAGTTGGAATGTAAATTAGTACAATCATGAAGACAGCCTGGAAGTATTGTGTCCTGCCAGCCTCTGGTCCCAGATCTTGGGTGGTGGAGGTGGGTGGATCTCAAGTTCACTATTTTGAGCTATGTGGTAAGTTCGAGGTCAGCCTGGGCTACAAGGAAATTTGGCGTTAAAAAAATTCTACCTGTGCATGGTGGCATGCCCTTTAATCCCAAGCACTCAAGAGGCCAGAGGCCGGTGAATCTCAGTGAGTTTGAGGCCAGCCTGTTCTATACAGGGAATTCCAGGCAAGTCAGAGCTACATAGTGAGAGAGACTTTGTCTCAAAAACTATATAACAACATCAACAAAGTGCTGATTTAAATAGACATTGGAAATTGATGGGTGGACACCAGAGGCTGAAAGAAGAGCCAAGAGTGAGTGATAGGTGGCTGGGCTAAAGAGTATTGATTTGGAGTGGGGGTGGGGTGGGGTTTGAGGTTAGTGTAGGTCAACATTTAGCATTGATGCCCTTATATACGTAAAAAAAATTTAAGTATAAGCTGAAGATCCCTGGCCTGAGAGGCTTTGAGATGGGGTTCCATCTAAAACCCTTCTCTACTTCCTCTCATGGTTCTTGGGACCTAGTCTTAATCTCGGTCCTGGTCATCTGAGCAACCACCATCTTTGTGTCCTTCTTAGTTCTGACGACTTCTCCGGAGGAAACCACTGGCTCTTTCACCCATGGCTCTCAGCACAGGTGAGTCAGGTGTCTTCACAGGGAGGGTCCTGGAAGGATGCCTAGGGAGCTCATGCAGTCCAGGAACCAGGGACCGCAGGATCATTCTAATGATGGCTGGACATCAAGATCTGCAGAGGACCCTCTGGTCCAGACGCGGAGGTGGAGAAAGAAGGACGGGGGTTGGCCGCAGGTCCCAAGCATTGGAGGAGCCATAGAAAAGACAGAGATCCAAATGAACTGGAATCCCTGTAAGGAAGGATGGAAAGGCAGACATAGCTGAAGAAAGAATAGATATATACATTTTACAGAATTGTAGGAAAAGGAAAGGTCTCAGGTTACAGACTCATATAGGGCTAGGGAGATGGCTCCATGATTAAAGAAAATATCTGCTATGTGAGCATATATAGTACCCGGGTTTGGGTCCCGGGCATCCACATAAAAATCAAAATAAATAAATAAATGAAAGGCAGATAACTATCTGGGCAAGGAGGAGATTTTTTGCTTGTTTTTTATTTTTTTCAGAAAACTTTAAATTCACACATCATGGGGGAATTAAACAAAGTGCATTAAGGAGGGCAGATTCTTTTTTTTTTTAAGATTTAATGTATTTATTATGTATACAGTGCCCTGCCTACGCACCAGAAGAGGGCACCAGATCTCGTTATAGATGGTTGTGAGCCACCATGGGGTTTCTGGGAATTGAATTCAGGGCCTATGGAAGAGTAACCAGTGCTCTTAACCTGTGAGCCATCTCTCCAGCTGCTCGGAGGGGGATCTATTCAACAAACAACTCTATGGGAATCGTTCGCAAGCAGACAGCAGACTGAGAAAAATTAACTTTAAGAAGATGAAAATAAACACAGCCGTGCAATTTATGGTTCACAAAGAAAACATGGCAACCCCAGTGGGAAATGGCAGGCAACAAGAAAGATAATTAGTGGGAGAGAAAATCTGAAAGGCATACATACATACATACATACATGTTCACACCCGCCAATGAGTTAAAATTACCAAGGGTCACATCACACCTCGACAATGACCAAAGCAGCGGGACACCCAGAAGTACTTTCAGCCAGGACTAGGACAGGATCCTGAACACTGAGCACAGTTGGTGGTGGCACAGACCCCTCCCACCTGTGAGAAGTCGGAGCCTGCTTGGGTTTCAGAACCTCCTAAAGATCAGCCAAAGTTTCACAACCCCAAAGATGTGCACCAGAAACTGCCCAGTTTGGACCAGGGTCACTAAGAAGTAGACAAGGTGACAATCCAGGTCCCCTTCATAAGTGGCTCTCTGTGCCCTCCTCTCCAGCCTGCTGAGTGCTGGTCACCTCCTCTCAGCAGACCTGTCTGTCTCTGTGACTGCTGCAGCCCCTGCTTCTGGGCCAGCTTGATGGTTTTCCAGCTGAGCCAGTGAAGAGGTTCCTTCCCCCAGCTGTTCAGATCCCCAGTCTGTTTTGTTACCCTTTCAATTGTGTTTCTTTTTTTTTAAAAAAATATTTTTTATTATGTATACATATTCTGCATGCATGTATGCTTTCAGGACAGAAGAGGACACCAGATCTCATTTTTAGATGGTTGTAGGCCACCATGTGTTTGCTGGGAATTGAAATCTGGCCCTCTGGAAGAGCAGCCAGTGTTCTTAACCTCTGAACCATCTCTCCAGCCCCCCAACTGGGTTTCTTATAAGTGGGTTTCTTCTCAGGCTCAGAGACCCCATGGCTCTCTTTCCCACTCAAGTCCACTGTCCCTCCAGAGCTCAGTCTGGGTCCTTGTGCACATAAACTCCAGCTGGGGGCTCTCAGAAGCAGATGGTGTCTCAACACAGGCTCCTCTTTCTGTTCCTTGCCTCCAGAAACCAGAGTTCTCCTTCCTCTGCTGGTGGGGTGTCCCCAAGGCTTCTGGTCTTTGTGCTGTGTGGAATCCTCCTGCTCAAGGGCCTGATGCTGTCAGTTCTCTGCGAGCTCCTTTACCGGAGGAGCTGCCGGTGAGTGGCTGACTTGAGGTGAGGGTGCTCTGTAGGATCCAGTGAGGATCACTGTAGGTTCAGTTTCCAGTGAGTGTGTATTAAATACACAGCAAGCCAAAGTAAAAGGTGAAATACAAGTTAGTAGTAGGGAGAGCAAACCATCGCCAGTGCTGACACTTACAACATCCCCCAAACTGAGGAGCCCATGGAAGCAGCAGCTGGAATTTCCAAGAGTCCCCAGAAGAGCAGTGTCTGAACGAACCCTCAGGTGAGGCTTCCAAAAACAAACAAATAGAAGACAGATACCATCAAATGTGGGGCTCACAACACCCCACAATATCCAGCTGGGGAAGTTGAGGCAGCCAGCTTTCTCCCCCCCACATCACCTTGCCATGGCTTCTCTGCCCCTGCACTTTCATCTAACAATGGTAACTTCTGCAGATGTTACCTTTGGCTGTCCCTGGGAGCAGGATGTGTTCACTCCTGGCTTGCTTTAGCTATTCCCTTCCCTCCCTGCTACAAGGTTAACAGGGCCAGGCCACTGGTACCCAAACAAGAAGCCTTGGAGGACACTTTGAAACAAACTTGCTTCATTCTGAATGGGGCAGGATAGAGTCTCATGTCCATAGGCAGCTCCTCGGTGAGCTCAAACACCACACATATACATGCACACACACACACACACACACACACACACACACCACGGACACACATATATACATGCGCACACACATGCACACATGCACACCCATACATACATACATAACCAGTGTAGTATATGTCACAGGCCGTAGATCTGGGGCCACGACTGTCCCAGGATGTATACCTGGGCAGATGGATGGAATGTTAGTTCTTGCACTTTCTGCCTATCCCTCAGACAATATCCTCCAGGAAGAGAGAGGCCCAGGGCCCTGGTGGGAAGGCTAGGGAGGGAGGAGAAAGGGAGAAGCTGCAATATAGCAGTCCTGGGCCAGAAGGAAGAATAGAAGAGCTTTGCTTTGTAAATTTCCCCTCCCCTTTCTTTCTCAGGGACCTGAGTATGCGGCAGAGACAGTGATGATGGAGGTTAGGGACTATGCCAGCCTTCCTGACGTCTCGGAGTCCTTGGGCACACGTAGCCACATCTCAGGGTATGAGAAGAATGCTTATTCTCCTAACCCTGCCTAGTGACCAGAGCTGCCCAACCGCTGCGTACTACAGCCCTACTGAAGCCATCAGGCAAGCACAGGGAGACAACCGCAGGTCCCCGCCTAAAATCACCAGCGAAGACTGTCACTTTGGTATCCAGCACCTGAAGATTCACACACTCCCAGCACGCAACTCCCCCAAGATGACCCAAGTTAATCTGCCCTGGGTGTCAGATTCTCAGTATCCCAAAACCCTGTTCCCCAGTGTCTCCCCAGAATCCTACAATGGTGCTTTCTCTCCCAGAACTCTCTCGGTCTCTCTCCTCAGCATCACATGTCCCATAGGCTCTGTTTCTGGAGAAACAGACCTGTGTTTGTCCACTTGTACTTACGTTCGGACTCTTAGATTGCCTCTGAGCAGAACACGGTAATGCCATTTCCCCTGGACTGCCTCTCCTCTTGCTCTAGATTCCTTTAAAATTAGAGAAAAATGACTTAAGTTATACAATGGGGGAATCAAGAAAGGCTGTGATCTGCAGACTACAAACAGAGGAAGCCAAGAAGTTAAAGGAAAAAAGTGGTTTTTAACAGGACAAAAAACTCCCCAGACGGCTCATCCAGCGCACATAGGCGCTGACCACCAGGGGGCAGTGTGTGTTGGGTTCTCGAGTGAGGCAATTTCATCTTCACATAGAAAGTCTGGTTGTACAAACTCGTGGGAGGTGTGGGTAGATAGGGGAACCCTTTAGGGAACAAAACAATGTCACATCCATAAACTAAGAAGAAGCCAGAGTGGTGTTCGGCACAGGTGACGTCCAGTACAGCCTGGACACTGGACATTGAGCATGGACAATCACTGTTGGTAGCAACCACGACAGGGCCCCCACGAAGACTGCACATTTTATTCTCTCTCTCTCTTTTTGATGTGTGGTAAAATAAAATGCAGAAATTTCTTCACAGATATTTCAGCTGATACCACACGGCTGCTATTTATCTGGGCACACACTTCCACTGCGTTTATCCTTCTTAGCCTCGTTCTTTATTTCCACTCCATGCCTTCAAACTGAGGCCATTACTCTCATGTGCTTGATAAGTAATACCGAACTTGTCTGAACTCTTACAAAAAGAGGCATTTTTGTGTGACTGTATTTCTTTTTGAGTGTGTGTGTGTGTGTGTGTACACATGCACACCTGAGTACTTTGCTTATAGAGATCAGAAAAGGGGCATCAGATCCCCGGCAGCTGGAGTCACAGGCAGTTGTGAGATGCTGGGAGTGGGTGCTGGGAACTGGACTGCAGTCCTCTGTAAGAACAGTGTGTTCTCTTGACCACTGAGCCGTCTCTCCAGGCTCTGTGTCTCCATTTTTAACTTCTATAAAATAGCATGATGCACTTTCCCCCACATGGTTCTCCTGCCCAGATACCCGGTCACGGCTTCCCAGGGCTGACACATACTCCATTGTGAGCACGCTCCCCACCAGGGGAGAGCCCTGGAGCCCAGGGTGCATTGCTGCTTTGCTCGCTCATCTTTACACGGTAATCAGTCCTATGGTGACCACCCCAGCAAACTCTCCTTCAGGATTTATACCCAGAGGAGTTCGTAGGATTTCAGAATATAAACTGCTGATGCCCCGTCTTTGTTTCTTGAACCACTACTGGACAACTAGAGATTACACTTCCTGTTCATCTACAGGAAGCAGGCAGCACCATTTGTGGATTGGTCTTCAGGAAGAAAATGAAGGGATGTTGGGAGCAGGAAGGTCCTCGTGCCCACAGGTCACCAGGGAAAACAGGAATGGCAATCATGCAGGATTGTTTTTCCAGAGAAGGATGTATAACCTGCTTTTCCATCCAGAAGGCCCGGAATTGGATGTGATTGACAGCCTGGTGATCTGCGTTATCTGTAGGGACAGGCTGTCTCAAACTCCCACAGCTAGGACCACAGGTGGCTAATAGCCCAAATGCCCTCTATGTTATCAGTACGTCTGAGGACTCTCCAGATCCTCCCCTAGGTGCTTAAGGTAGCACAGTAGCCTATTCTAGAACCCATGTTCTTGAAAGAAATGACATGTACCCTGAGTCGGCTCTCGATATAATTATGCCTCCTTCTGCACAGTGGATTGTATAATACCAGGAAATTTTTTTCCAGGTTGTACTGTGTTTAAATATGCTGACGGTGGTATCAACCCCCCAAAGTTTGATCACGCTCAGATAAATCAGGTTGAACCAAGTTTTCTTTCTTTCTTATTCACGGGCCACTTTACTGCCACCCGAGACACGTGCAGGGGCCCCAACAGTAGGAGGGACCTCAGGGGGTTTCTGCTAAATGGTCGTATTGTCAAACTGCCTTCGTGTTTGTGTGTATAGATAGATTTGTGCTGCTCTTAACCATGGGCAGGGTCAACTTTTTGCTGTGGACAGTAGTTAATGCTGAGATTCATAACTGGTCAAAGGGCTGAGAACAAGACAGGAAGTGACTGCTGAGCCCTGATGGAAAATCTCTATTACTCCTTTACCCTAAGCCTCAGAAAGCATCATGGGAGAGGGAGCAGCAAAAAAAGGTAAGAGATGGGGCTGGGGACGAGTGCTGTGGATGCTGCCATCAGGACAGGACAAGGCAATTGCACAGAGCCCTTGGCAGCAATGCTTTCCTTCACAATATCCAACTCATCAACATTCTGGCATGGGGAGGGGAGGGGACTCACAAGGCTCCACCCCTTACTGAGAAGCCATTTTCAGTTGCTAGCTGCTTGGGGAGAGAGAATCAGCTATGCACACAGGGGCCAGACTAATTGGACTCAGTGGCTCACAGTAAAAAATAGAAGAGGATACTTGTCAGGGTCGCCATGCGAAGAGACCCACAGGGAGCATTGGATCTCATGGAAAATGGCTGGGCCGTTGGCAAAGCCAACCTGAGTGAGCATTGGAGAGGCAAATCCCCGAAGACTACATGCCCTGAGGACCTCATGTTGTAGTTCTGCAGCCTTCGTGGTCACTGCATCCCTCGCATTCTCTGGGGTGTACGAAAACTCCCAAGGTTTCTAGCCCCTCAGTGGCCACTGTTACTGGTACTTATAATAATAGTGATTGACTTTTTCTAAGCATTGCTGCTGGGGCACATTAATGATTCAACCACCAGGTCCCTTACAAAGAATTTAGACACTTAGAATTGTTAGTAAGGTTATTAAGGAGTTTTTGTTAATGGCTTTGAGGTAGAAAGTCTTCGGGAACAATATCACATTTATAGAGGCATACTTTTTAATAGTTGAGCGAGGGACTCTTTGGGGTTAGGGGACAGCAACAAAGGCCGTACAGACTGACATACCTCTCTTGCTAGAATGGATAGGTAATCAAAGGCCATGATTAATTCCTTGTACCTATTTCTGCCCTTGCTTCCTGTTATGATTTAGTGAAAAACTGCTGAGGAGTGAGTATGCACTCTACAGACTTGAATAGAAGTGACTGCTTTTTTTCATATGCAATACTTTAAGTTTGTGATTCTTTTAAGTTTTTTTTATAAGATTACCTTTTGAGATAAATAATAAAACAATTGGTCCTTTCTTTGTAATTGCAAGATTCAGCCTGTCAGTAAAAGAACTGGCTGAGAAAAATATCTTGTTTGCTTACATTCTGTTAATCTATAACAAGTTTCTTGGACTTGAATGTATGTGGTTCTTGGGAATAATTTGTTTTTCACCCATAATATGTACAATGTAAATCATGTAAGGTATATGAAAAACATGCTGGGGTTTTTTTTTTGCTTGTATTCATTATAATCATTCACTTAAAAGATAGAATGTAACTATATTGTAATTTTTATATTGCTTGAAAGAATCTGCTGGGGTATATAAGCTGTAAGGGAAAAATAAAGTGAGTTAGAAGGAAGACACCAGGAAAAAGAAGGGAAGCATCAGGGTAGAACAGAGCAGGTAAAGGACAGGTAGAACCAGCAACAGAAAGAATAGTAGAGAAAAGGAGCCTTTATCCCTCAGAAAAAAGTCTGTGTGCTTTCTTGCCAACTCTGCATCTGGTTCCCAGTCTGTCTGATCTGCAAAAGGCTGGGCCCTCTGCAGACATGGAACTAAAAGGGGTGCGTGTGTGAGGAAGGCTTGAGGGTGTTTGGAGGAGGGAGTGAATCTGATTAAAATACATTCTACACATGTATTTGTGAAATTATTGAAGAATAAATAAGAATTAATAAAAGAGAAGTGGGAATGAGATCAAATACAACTAAGTGATGCAGAAGGCATGAGATATGTGATTCTCTCTATTCCTGTGCATTCTTGGGAAGGTTCGTGTGCAGATAGCATGAGTCTAAACACAAGTGTGTTGGTGTCAGCACAGTTGGGTGTGAATTGTATATGGCTGAATACAATTCTTGATTAGTTAAAACAGTTACTGGAAATTTTGTTACCTGGGAAATCAAGGCCCCTTCTTGAGGTCAATAGTTTCACTAATAAAAGATTTTAAGAGAGATGGAGAGTTGGCTTGGTGGTTAGAAGTGCTTGCTTCTCCCAGAGGACCTGGGTTCAGTTCCAGGCACCCACGTTGGGTAGATCACAAGTAACTCCAGCACAAGTAACTAATCCAGAATTAGATACTTTCTTCTGGATTCGGCAGACCCTGGAACACACACACACACACATACACACAGCGCTCGTTAGTTTTTGTCAACTTGACACAAACTAGAGTCACATTGGAAGAGAAAGTCTCAGTCGAGGAATTGCCTCCATCAGATTAGCTTGTGGGTAAGTTTGTGGCATTTTTGTAAAATCGATGGCTGATGTGGAAAGGTCCAGCCCACTCTGAAAAGCGCCAGCCCTGGGAAGATGGTCCTGAGCTATACAAGAACACAAACTGAGCAGGGCATAGGGAGCAACCCAGTAACCAGCACTTGTAAACATTGGGGTGTGGATGGAAAGGCAGTTGG